ATTATTATAAAGCTATTAAATTAATAATAAATTTATTAATTAAAATTTTTAAATAACTTTAAGTTTTAAATAATTTATAAATTAAAAAAGTATATTATAATTTTAAATATATTATTTTAAAAGTAAAGCTATATATTAAAAAATAAATAAAATATAATAAATAAAAGGGTAAAATATTAATATAAAGCTTTTCTTTTATTAAATAAATAAATAAAATAAAGGTATAATAATATTATTTTAATATAATTATTTTCCTTTAATAATAATAAATTAATAAATATTATTATAAATTAAGTATATTAGAATTTTCCATTAATAATAAAGCTAATTAATATAATAGAAAACCTAAAAGTCCAATGCTTCTTTAATAAAATAAAGGTAAAATTTAAAATATTTATAAATAATTATATAATAAAATAAAGCTATATTTATATAAAAAATATTTATATATCTTTAAGGATATAATAATAAAGTTAAAAATTATATATAAAATATATAGCTTTATATTAATAGGATATTTAAGTTAATATAAAAGTTAAAACTTTTTAAAACGTTTTTACTTTTAATTAAGGATATTTTAAAATATAATTACCTTTATTAAAGGATACTATTTATATTAATAAATTAAAAACTTTAAAATAATATTAATTAAATTATTTAAACCCCTTTTAATATTATAGAAATTAAATAAGCTTTTTATTATTATATATTTAAAATAATATAAAATATAAATTAGTTTTAATTATAATAAATAAACTTATAAAGATAAAATACTTTATTTTAATAATAAATATAATAATAAATATATTATTTATATAATATATTAAAAATAATTATATTAAATAAAGGTTTATAATTTATATTTTACTTTTAAAAGAAATTAAATTATTATTTAAATATATAGTTATATATTTTAATAATATATTATTTAAAAATTAATAAATAAATAAAAATCGTTAATATTATAATAAAATAATATTTAAAAGTTTATTATAATTATTATTAAAATAATTAAATAAATTAATTATCCTTAATTAAATTTATAATAAATAATTAAATATTTAAAATTATAAAGCTAACCCCCTTTTTTATAAATTATAATTAATATCTTATTATAAAAATTAAATTAATAGGGAACTTAATTAAAATTAAAATAAAAGTTTAATAAAATAAGTTTTTAATTATATTAAATATAATTAATAAGATTTAAAAAGTAATAAAAAAGGCTAAAATATTAATAATTATATTTTAAAAGTATTATATTAAAAATATAAATATATATTAATTAAATGTTTTAAATTATATAATAAAAAATAAGGTTTAAATTAATATAAAAAATGTTAAAATAAATTAACCTATATTAAAATTAAAAAATAAATAAATAAGCTCCTTTAAAGTAATAAAAATATATTAATAAACTATAATTAACGTATCTCCCACTTGACTTGGCCACCCAATTGACCTGGCCACCCCCTTAGCCCATACAAATAACGTCGGTGCGCTAATCACGTGATAATTTAATAGCTCTACGAATATTAGTCGTATAAAATAATAAAATATACCATTAGATTTGTAATAAAAAGAGCTTTTTAACGGTACCCTTCACTAACTTTTATGACCCATATTTGCGGAGTTATTAAGCTATACGCTAAAGTAAGCGTTAAAGTAAACCCTGCTTAGCGCCCCTTTAACGTATTGCTTAATATCTCGCTTAATAAATTTTATAAAAAATAGTAAAAAATAGCGTTAAATTCCCCCTTAATTAACGGATTTAAAGGTAATAATTATTAAATCATACGGTTAGTATTCGTAAAGTTATTAAAGATTGAAATAATGGGGTTTTATATAGGTTATTGGGGTGGCCAGCTTAATTGAGTGGCCAGGTTAAGTAGGAGATGCATTATATAGTTATTTTAATAATATAAAATATTTTAAATATTTTATATATTATTAATATATTTAATAAAAAAGGCCTTTTAAAATAATTAACTTTAAATAAATTATATAATAATAAAGTAAAGGGAATAATTTTATAAAATAATAATAAAATTAAAAAAATAAAATAATTATTTAAAAAGATTTTAAATAATAAAAAAAAAAAAAGTATAGGATTTAAATATAAAATTAAATAATTAACCTTTTATTAATTAATTTAAAAATTAATAATAAACTTTAAAAGTTATAAAAATAAATTAATAATATTTTATTATTTTAACCTTTTTAAATTAAAATTATTATATTAATTAAAAATAACTTAAATAAAATAATTATTAAAAATAATATATTTATTAAAGTAAAAATATAAAGAATAAAATATAAATTATATATAAAAGGAGATATAAAAAAAAATTATAAATTTATATAAAAAAAAGAAAAGTTATTTTAAAAATTTATTAAAAAAAAAAGATTAAAAAATTATTACTATAATAAAAATAAATTAAAAAATTATAAATAATAAAAATAAAGCAATTAAATATTAAAGCATTATTTAAATTAAAATTAAATTAAATTAAATTAAATTAAATAAAAAAAATTAAAGTAAAATTAAATAAATATAAAAGAATTAAAAAAAGAATAATAAAGGTTAATAGGATTAAAACCTATATTATTAAATTAAATTTATACTTTTTTTAATTATAGCTATATTAATTTAAAATTAAATTATTTAAAAAATAAGGGAAAAAAAGTTAAAAATTTTAATAACTTTATTATTATTAAGCTTTATAATTATAAAGTTAAATAGTAAAAAATTTTAAATTAAAATATTAATATTATTATAATAAAAAATAATAAAAATAAAAAATAGGAAAATAAAGGTAAAGATTTATTAAAAAAAAATTATAAAAATTTTCTTTAATAAAATATTAAGCTATAATAAATATATTTTTAAATTAAAAATAAAATAATTAAAAGTTTTTTTAAATATAAATTTTTTCTTTATTATTAAAATAAAAATATAATTATAAAGTAAAAGTAAATTAATAATAATAATTAAAATAAATATTATAAATAATATAATTCTTTTAAAAAATAAAAAAAATATTAATAAATATTAAAGAAATAATTATATAAAAGTAATATATATTATTTTTATTTTTTTAATATTTATAAATATATATACTTTATAAACTTTCTTTTTTATATTTTTAAATATAAAGGTAAAATTAATAATTAAAGTAATAATTTTATAATATAATATTAATAAATATATATATTAATATAATATAGTTAAATTAATAATAATAATAATAATATTAATAATATATTAAAAATTAATATATTAAAATAAAAGTAAGTTTAAATTATAAATAATTTTAATTATTAAAAGTATTATTTATTTAAAAAAAATATAATTAAAAATTAAAAATAATAAAGGAAATTATAAAATAAAAATAAAATATTAATAAAATATAATTAATATATTAATTTATATAAATTATAATATTTATTATATTAAATATAATAAATTAAAGAAATATTACCTTTAAATATATATATAAAGTAAAATAATATTAATTTTTAAATAATATTACCCTTTTTAAAATATATATTAAAGTTAATTTAAAAATAATAAAGGTAAAACTTTTTACTTATAAAAATAAATATATATATTAATATAATAATAATAATAATAAATAAAAAAAAATAAAAAAAGGTATAAATAAAGCATTTAAAAAAACCTTTTTTAAAAAATTAAAAATAAAACTAGGTATTATAATTATAAAAAGGTAATAAAATAAATATAAAGAAAAACAAAGGAAAAATAGAAAAGCATATAGGATAAATAATTAATTATTATAATAAAAAATTCTATTATAAAGCTATAGGGTATTATTATATTACTTTAAAAAGAAATATAGCTTAAAATAAATAATATAATATATATATTATATAATTATATTATAAATAAATTTAAACTTATATAATTAAGGTTAATTATATTTAAAAAAAAGGAATATTATTATAAAATTAAGGAAGCTTAATTTTTAATATATAATATAAATTAAAGAATATTATATATAACGTTAAGAAAGGGAATAAGGGGTAAAAACTAGAACTTCCCTCCTTGTGTAATAATAGAACAAATATATGAAACTACAGCTGGGCGGTACTGTGATACGCGACGACCAGGAAGGTCTAAATGTAGCTGGAAATCTATACGGTAACATGGGGCATCATACCTTTGTGAGACCTTTTCCCCCTGCATGAACGCTTGCAAACTAACAAAATCTTTCACAGAATTTTACCATGCCAGGTCCAAAAGTTTGGGTGCCAGAGGCGAAATAGATATAGTTCATGTAAAGTTAGGTCCCATGAAATACTCTACCTTTAACTTCAACTATTACACGTGTAACCTCTGTACCGGCTGAAATATGCAGTTCGCCTTGCACTTCGGCCGTACGAAGGACCATTGCAGGCTGTTCATGATCTTTCAAGACATGCAGGCAATATTGGGCAATATTGGAAAGTGAGGTTATACAGACTTCGCTTCTTGAAACGGACCCTAGAGACCCAGGCGGTCTAGGCTGGCAGACCAATTGTATATAGAATCAAGTCAAGCCACCAACAGCCGAGAAGGAGTTGGTTGTTCAAGGACTCATGCAGCCCTAGTTGATCATTGTATTAATCTGATTAGCTTCAAGTTCCAAGCCCAGTCATCTGCCCTTGTTATAGTCTTACACCCCATACCATTACACACTAGATCAACCCAACAATGCTTGCAAAGAGATGAGGTCAATAGCACAAAAACTTGGAACAAATTTTCAACTCTTACAGAAGATGACATGTAAAATTATAGTACAACAGCTAGTGTAATGAGGTAGCCCGAACATCCGACAATGAGGTGTACCGGGAATACTTAGTTGCTACTATTGGTATAGTTATACGCAAATAGAGGCTAGTCACTCTTATTTATAGCAGCAAGTCAGTAAAGAAAGGGCTGTATTTGACTTACGTAGTATTTACTACACGCTGGGCTTGGCATTTATTTTGAGTAAAGCTTATCAATTTGAACGTATCGCATCCAATCCTTGCATCCGCCAAGCGATCGGTTTGGTACTTTAGTTTGAGGAACTATCCCTATCCTGTGCCAAGTGGCCGGGCTTACACATCCGGATTTCGAACGATAACCAAGAGGCCTCATTGAGTCAATCTTAGTCGTCTCGAAGGAAACATGTTGCTACATTAGGATAGCATATCTCCAACGCCACCTTGCTGTTGGGAACTTCAACTTGTTTGAGTCGCCATGTTCATGTGCCCTCGGAGCAGCGTCTTAGCCGCTTGGCCAATATTACTAGCATGTACTGGTTGTAAGCAGCCCTCACCCTACTCACGCAGAGCTTCTGGTTAACCGTAGGTTACTCGTGGCCAACAGCGGCTGTATCGCAGTCTACCTGTACTGAAAATGTCACATTATCGACGGGCGCCGAGGCCCAATCTCTCAGCGAGCGCTGTAAAATCCTGGATGGCAGCATCACACTTCCTGGTAACTTGTCTGAGAGTATCAATCTAGACGGCCTTGAAGAAATTAGGGGCGATTTCACGATGGAATTTTCTTATTCTGGGGATTCCGGATATTCCATTCAGTATGAGCCTTACTACGGGCCATCGTACGAAATAAGTAGCTCTACGCTCCAGACAGTTGGCGGTGTAGTGCAATTCGGTTTGGGTAGCACCGGACTCGCTTACCCTGAAGATTACCAAGCACCAAGTCTTGGAAACGTATCATTCCCGAGCCTCATGAACATCAGCGCAGGGGTGGAAATTGCGGCGCCCAATCTTACGCATATCGACTTAACGAGCTTACAGTATTTTACTTTCTTTAGTCTCAGCACGCCACAGCTCGCACAACTGCAACTGCGGCACGTCAAGGGCTTAAACGACAATATTCACTGGCTTAATAATGTTGGTTTGGAGAGCATCGGTAATGTTGAATCCCTTGATGGCTTATTCAGTGAGCCGATTGATCAGACGAGCTCAAACCTGCTACACGACGATGGCATTTGGCAGACGGTTTACTTTGGAAAGCAACCCCCGCACCACTATCCGAACAACTACCCGTATGGAACAAGCGCAAATGGGCCAGCTCCAAGTCTTCGAAACCTTACCATTGGATGGGAACAGCTTCAATCAACCAGATTCACTGACATGAATCTCACTCTCACGTTGGGCGGCACAATGACGGAATCAATGACAATCAAAATCATGGTGTTGGAGCGCGGCAACTACAAACTACAACGAGGTCCTGCTGTCAAACACCTCGCTGTACTGGCTTTTCGAGCTGACAATGACTTCGATAACACCGACTTAGTGCTTCCCTTTGATCAGGTGGACGAGGTGTACATTAACAGCACAGAGCTTCAATCGATAACGCTACCCCAGGAAGCAGAGAATTGGACTCGCCCAATTTTCGAGCTACACGCTCCCAAATTGAGGCTTGACAGCTCAACCACTTGGCATTGGCCACTTCACATGGACCGCCTTGTTATAGAAGCAGGTACTATAACTGATGACTTTTTGTAAGTGGAAAAGAACCGTTACAGACTCGTGCAAAACTACATGCCCTTTAGTGTGGAAGTTAACAGGCAGTTAGTGAATCGTTTACCCAGAAGGAAATAGAAGTTAGATATGAGGTTCAGATTGTTGACCATAGCAAAACACTTGACTGCTCAAAGCTTTATAGGGAGGGCGATGGACACCCCTGGGTCTTTCACTGTGAAGGTAAGAATGTGTCAAATTTAGCGCTGTCTATTCGAGCATCAAGATCTCTTTGCCTATGGGTATACGGTCTTGCAATTACCTTTCTCATGTGGTATTAAACCAGGCCTTTAGCGCCCGTTATCGCTAATTATGCTTCGTGGTTAAATAGATAAATATGACGATCTACTAGAGCTGCAAAAGTCCTTGACTCGCGACTCAATTCCTTTTTAGCCTTGGTGGCTGACTTTGACTCTATATACAATTGGACTGCTAATCCTGACCGCCTGGTCTCAGTTATCTGTTTCAAGAAGCAAAGTCTGTATCTCTCGAAGGTTACTATTAGACTGTATTACGCCCGTAGCCATAGTCGAAGTGCATGCTCAGCTACTATTATGATTCTAATACTAAATTGCAAAGCGCTAGACTCCTAACCTACTTCGAGAAATTTCACTACATCTCGGAAATTAGTTTAACAGTCGCCAACAAGTAACTAGCTTGCCTTCTTAAGACACTTTAAAAAGCCATGACGAATATTGATGACATATTGAGCTATTCATTTACACTTGCCCAATCCCGCCTGACAGTCCTGCCTAGAGCACAGCTGTAAGGATAGTCAACTCTTCTCCTTACATAGAGTAGCTTAAACGACACGGTCTGCGAGAAAATTGCCTGCCTCGACAGCAACACTGCCGTAGGAGAGATGAGGTGCAAGAACTGCAGCATTCAGCACACCATTACAGACCTGGTCCAGGCCACCAGCACAGAAGAACTTTGTTTTCTCCGTCGGAAAACCCGGCACCTGATCGCGATCGATTCGCTTCTGAGTATCACCGAAGAGAACAACGGCCTGGACCTTGTTTCTCACGTTTTGAGAAAGGTCTTCCATGGCCCGGTGAACGACCGCGCCACCTTGAGAATAACCACCCACAACGATCTGCGAGTCGGGACACCTGGTGTCCGCTAAGTTGAACAGGCGTTTCATCTCCGCCTCGCTGATCGCATCTGTTCCTCCAGGGAGAAAGTTGGTTGAGACGAGCGCAGCGTAGTCAACACCTTGAACAGCCACGCGCTGGGACCCGACACGTCTCTTCAGCTGGGTGGCCACGCCTGGCCCGACGACTGTTCCCTGTAACATTCCAAAGTCAGAGCGATGAATGACATATCTAGGCTCTCTCGCAATTCAATAGACATACCATATTGCCAATTTCAGTCGAGCCACGAGCGAAAATGAAGATGACATCACCACAACGACCACGAACTAGGTCGTTCTCCGTAGCACCAGTCAGTTGGCGCTCAACAAGTGGCGTTCCAGCCGCAACTTCCCCTTCTGGAATGGCGATAGGGGTAGCGAGGACCAGAGAAGCAAGGCAAAGAGCAGAAGAGAAATGCATTTTGAGAGTTGTCGTTTTGGGGAGGGCTGAAGTGGAACAGGCCTGAGCTGAGGCTGCTGGACAAGACTGGCTCTTTCGAAGGATAGTCGCAAGCTGGCGATGTGAGATGTAAGGTGACGATGCAGAACACACAACTTCTTCATGGAGAATCTGCTCCCTTCTTATACTGTTAAAGCATCTTGCTTAGGTGGTTTGTGTCTATACTAACCTCGGCTGTTTTCGACGCTTCCACGATCTTGGCCCTTTAGCTTCATCATCTGAGCACAGGGCGAAGCTTATTGAAAGGGAGTCTACTCCTCATCAGTATCAACCAAGACTATGCATGCTCGCAAAGTCTCAGCAAGTTAAGTATCACCTTGGTTGTTAGTAAGAAGAGGGCGCTTCAAGTCGCAAGTGTTTCCTATTCGGGGTGTTTGGACTTGCTTTGATCTTCAGCCAAGAATAATTCATTAATACCCATCCTGTAAAAATGCGCGCTCAAAATTCTCAGTCTCGAAGCTTTAGCAAGTTAAGTTTCACTCAGTCTATTCATGGGGAGAGAATGCTTTAGTCGTAAGTATTTCCTATTTGGGATCAACTTGCTTCAACCTGGAGCCAAGGATACTTCATCCAGCACCTAACCCTTGGCAATGCTAGTTAGACAGTCATAGGTTCAGACTAATTTTTGCAATACCATATCTGTAACATGCCTGAAACAAACAAGTCAACGTGTTAGACACCCCAAAACTAACGCGATACTTGAGAGAGCAGTTTTTGTTCTCTGCCCAAATTTGTTTCCGATGTAAAGTCAGCGATATTGGAGGTTTAGATCTGCCCAAATCAATTGTACAAGGGGAGGGGTAACTGGGGAAGTCAGAATAGTGCATAAGGGGTCGGATTAGATGTAGACTTAGCATCCGCAATTAGGGCTAGATCAATCATGGCATGGTGACCAGCGAGTTAGGTGTTCACAGCGCATCTGGGGCGCATTCTCTATATGAATACGAACCATGGAGATCACAAAATAGATAGGTCAACAATCTAGTTCAAGAACCTATTCTTGGAAACCGCTCTGGCAGCGACGTATTCCCGTTCCGTGATTTGAGCGCACGCGCCGGTGATTCAGCCGAACGACTCTGCTTCCAGAAGAAGCCTCAGCTCGCTTTGGTAACATAAGGTAGTACCCAATCTACTCAGAGATGCGAGCCATTATGAAAGCGCGGAGATGAGGATACTCAAAAGCAACTTTTATCGTACTTGGCGAAAAGCTCTCCGTAAGCTCATTCCCAAAGTATATGGGGTTAAAGTTAAGCCGCTAAGGCGGGAAAGAAATTAGTTGACTAAGGACTTTGCAGCCCTAGTAGATTGTCATATTGTGAATAGCTTCAGCCCCAAGCCAAATCATTCGCCCTTGTTACACATTGTGTTATTCGCCTAAGTTATCGTGCTCTGTGATGACACCAAGAATTCGGCCACATTCATCGCCGGCCGCATTATCTAGAGTGTTGTTAGTGGTGATATCAATATGGCGATGATCGTGTGCGGCCTGATACTGCAACGAGGGTGTGGAAAGTGTATCTGCTTATCTTCATCTTCTAGATTGACCTACCTATTAGCCGTGCTTCTGCTTCTTGCCATGCTTTCCCTTCGCGTTATTAATGACCCTAAGAGACGCATCCTCTCTAAGCACGCGCATAGACACTGTGAGTGGTTTCGATCCTCATAAGCGTCATATCGAGGCGCTGTGGCCCCTACCAGATTTTGGGGCACTATCGTGCCTATCGTGCCTATCATGCTCGGTGTTGTTAGCTGCATCCTGGTTGTAGCCAACGAGGCATTTTCAAGCTCGCCCCTGAGCCAACTATGCCCCTCCAGCTCTCGGAAAACTACACTAGCATCTTCGCACTGGCCTCTGTCTTTTATCGCGGCGGGCCGCAGCCCTGGATGACCTACTTCATGCCCCTTAATATCCAAGCGGTCAATCTTTTCGAGACCACGTATGCAATCGCCATGAATCTATCCAGGACGCTCGTTACCCTTCCATTTACCGTTGCGTCTGGGACGTGAGTTATTGCCATGAACAGTTACCAAACCTCCCAGCTCGTTGGTATCCGCCTTATGGTTATTGGCTTTGAGCTATTAATTCTACTCGACAGGAATTCAAGCACCGGCATATTGCTCGGGATTTTAATCATCGCCTCGACCCGCTCACTGGCACGCTGCCCGGTGCTTAACCATCTCTGCCGGACAAAGACGTAGCTACCACGATAAAGACTTGGCCATTCGTACGAAGCTGCGGCGCTATCTGGGTTTTCGAACCCTTTCGACCGTTTTCAACGCACGTGTCACTGGTATGCTGCACATTTTAGACTCAACAGTGCATGCCGCCTCGAAGCCCGAGATAGCAGACTTCATCTGACGTTTCGCCGGCAATCCGCAGTAGGTCAGTATAATGAAGGTCTATGCCAATGTTGTAAAATATGCCTGGCGGGTTGCCCTCAGCTTTGTAGTTTTGGGCGTGATCATCGGTGCTGTCAATTAAGGTGTTTTCCATGTTGGAGCAGCTTGAGGCTAATGAGTTCGGATTTGAGTATAAGAGAGGAAATGGTCCATGGTGGGGGCGGGGTCAAGTTGCTTGGGGTTGGTGAAAAGACCAGATGAAATGTCTTCTGAGGCCGCAGGATTATAGCGAGTCTTCAGCTGTTTTCTTCTCGCGTGTTAGCCATTCATTTGACGGATAAGATAAGGCCTAAATATCCTAAATTACAATTTAAGACGGGTTGAATTATGTTCGATAGAAAAGGCCCGGAGCAAGGTGAGCTAATTCCGCTAAGGGAATCTCAGCTTAGGTACCTGGATTGAGGCATGGCGGCGTTTGGTGTCCGCAAATGCTACGAGTAGCCTTCTAGCGAGGCATTCAAGTTTGCAGTAAGTTTACAGTAGCAGTTAAGCTCTTGGATCTTAACAGATGTCCATGGTAGTAGATTTTAAGCTGACAATATACACCGGGTTTCGACATGGTGATGATGTAAGTAAATAGATGAGTAGCGACAATATAGTACATGACATGTCGTGTAGCTATGAGGCACAGAGAGAGCTTGAGGCGTTAGTCTCAACGCAGCCATGGGACCAACGTACCAACTCCTGAATGAGTTGTGCCTCATGCACCGACGTTGCTTCATCTATTGGTTGGATTAGAATTGTTTTGGTTAGTCTCCGACTGAGTTGGTTGCCGGTGATTAATATAGAACGAAACACTCACGCCAGCGTTTCGCATCCGCCCGCCTGGGGGACCCAGGCCTGTTGTCCTCAAAGCGGAACTGTTTTCGGACTGATGCTCATGAACTAAGCATCAGTCACAACTACTAGTAGCTCGCCTATAAATTTATTTGTGATGGATGCGATGAAAGTTATTTATGGTCTAGCCGACAAAGGATGCTACATGCTCATCAACTGGTAGGTATAGTTCTTCAAGAGGCGTCCTCAACAGCGCCGAGACACCGCTTTATTGTCCCAGAAGATTTTCCCAGGGACAACTTTATTACATCGCCTCATTCACAGCCCCAGCAGGAGCTTTGGCATCATCATCAAGGTCAACCTCATTAATCAAGCTCTTGACCGCGCTATTACAGCATGAGGATACTGCGCATATCGTGTTGCTATATCTCGACTGGCTGCTCTTGAATCCCACTAGAAGCCCGTCCATATATGTTCTCATAAGGTCAATTCAGTCTCTTATAGATCCCATTCGCTATTATGAAGAAGCTCTCGAACGTCAAAAACGACACCGTTAGACGTTTGAGCGCTCTAACGGTTATTATATAGCCCCATCTACGTTCAACAGAAGCTGTCATGTAGAATCAGTAAGTCAATTTTACCATTGCCACTGTTGACTGCTGATGCAGAGGCCTAGCCTTTCTCCACGCCAAAAGCGAACTTCCTACCGCAACATCAAGTCACACAGAAGCACGATCAGTTGGGATGAATGAGACAAACTATCGGTGCATACATCGGAATGATACGAAGAATTTTGATTGCGGGTTGTCTAATAACTATCTATTGGCGTTGGGTCTAAGGTTAGATTGCTGCCTTCGCTATCCTCGGAATTAATTCTTCCCTACCAACTACCCAAAACATGACAATCGCATCACCATCTATAGAAAGATAAGTGAAGTGTGTGGGAGATATCTCTGCCCCTGGTTCATGCCATGCCTGGGAATGAAAATCTGGACGGAAGAACGATACTCTCAAGAGTTATCCCCTGCCATACCAGCGACATTCATAGCTAACTCATATTAACCAATTGCCTCTTAGACCCAGTAGTTGGCGCTTGACTATTTACTTGGTCTGCGCCCGCTTGTGCTAATGCATGTACACGCCTCATAGCAAGCATGTGCACCCGCTCAAGTGAGACCTTTGCTCCTCCTCTGAGCGAAAGCAACTGCGCCGACTTGATCAAATTCTTAATCTCGCGGCCGTTCAGTGGGAGCTGGGACAGCTGCTCGAGGGTTTCCTGTTTTACATCAAATCTATCGGGGCCACCAGCATGTTCGATGAAGTTGAGCCAAACTTCGCGCCGCGCCTCGCTTGTGAGATCGTAATAAGGAAGGAACAAATCGACGCGCGATTGGAAAGCGGTATCGATGCTTGCGACTCGGTTTGTAGTTAAGAACATCACACCTTGGTAGTACTTAACCTTGCGTAAGAAGATGGCAACAAGCTCGTTACGCACGAGAGAATCGGAAGTGCGTACGCCTAGGAACACGTCGGCCTCATCGAGCAGCAGCATAGCATTCCACATTCGACACAAGCCTAGTGCGTGCTCGAGTGCCTTCTCCACCGCATGCGGAGATATCCCGAGTTCGGCTGCACTCAATGAATAGAGAGGTACTCGCGCTTTGTCAGCGATGGCCTCGGCTGTAAACGTCTTTCCAACGCCTGGTGGCCCATACATAAGAACTATAAGCCCACGGCCTTTGTCAGGGATGAAATCATCGAACTGCTCGCTATGAGCAAGACTCCTCGCCTCTACGAACTCCCAGGCGAGTTGTTTTCCATCACCAGGTAGTACTAGCTTGTTGAAGGCCTCGTCGTTCCAAGCCACAGGTTGTAATTGATCAACACGCACTTGGCACCATTGCTTGCTCTTGAGGTCAAAGGCCCTCACCCATGGAGTGGTTAGGAGGCGTTGTTCGTCATCGAGGGGTTCAAGGTCTTCGACTCGCTTCACAGGGACCTTTGTAGCTACATTCTCTTCAACTCTGATATGCGCAAACTTGGGGTCTTTGGTCCGATTAACGGTATCAATATCCATATGATCTTCGGTGTTTCCAGAAGAGGACCCAGTGTGGGCTGCTGGGTCCCCAGAGACCTTATTGCCAGGTTCATCTCGAACGCGAGGAAAGGCGCGAAGAGCTGGCTTGGTGATATCACAACTGGTGTAATATGCACACGCATCAACACAGACTCTGCCAGAAATAGGTCGCCGCACTGGTTCTTCCTCTTCGATAGTAATTCTAGTCCCGTTGGCTTCCATGAGGTGGAATTCTCGAAGACGTTCAAAGATCATCCCGCGTTGTATCATGGACGCTCTGTAGCTCTCTTCATCTTTCAAGTATGAGATTGGGAACGCGGGGAGCAAGGTAACATGACGATACCCTTCATAAGGTTGGATACTCATGTCGGTGGTAGAAAACCCTGATGTCTCTCCATTCCAATCAACAAACTCCATGCGAATCTCCCAGTAGGGGCCTGAGTCAATCTTTCGTTTCTGATAACGTGTTACACGACATATAGTCTCGACCCCGAAAAACTTTGTCAAAACCAGAGTGCCAGGGGCAAAGACTTGCCAGATGTCGGCAAACGCGATTTTTCCGGTTTCTCGAGTGTAGATCACCGAGTCAACTTTGGGCGCCAAAATAGGGATCAAGAAGCCGATCAATTTCAATGCTGCAACCGCCATGGCCGGTTCCTTCTGCTTCAGCCGCAAAGCCTGGAGCGCTTCCCATCGATGACACAAGGGCATCTGTAAATAAACAAAGGTCAGTTGCTGCTGCGATAGTGACACCTCCTCCTTTGCAAAAGCTGCACTCACGAATGGAGGAGTAAAAGTATAGTTCTCGAGGGACAAATCAAGGTCCTGGTAACCTGTAAGGGCCTGCTGCAAAATCTCCTTCATTGAGGCGTCTTGAATAATGAAGCTATGTGTGACCCATTCACCGTCGTCATCCTTGTTGAACCGGTGGATGATTGGTACATTAGCTGCACGTGCGAGAATGGCCTCTAGTTCATCATGTCGATTTGGGTGCTCTGACCAGTGACTTCGGGTACAAGCCCTACTGCACTGGTTGCTGTAACACTTTGTCACCGTCTTCGATGTAGAACTTGGGCTTGATGTTCCGCCATCACCAGCCGGGGCCGGAGCTAACGCAACGGCGTCTGACTTGGACTCCATGATCTTCAAATAGGAATGCAGATTGTCTAAGGGTTGATGTTGTAGGTTCACTAAAGGTATGAATACCTAGTAGGTATGGAGATGTCCGGTGGGCCAAAGAAACTTAAGAAACAATGAAGAGCAGGGCAACATGTTGAAGCAGTTGGAGCGGCAACAGCAATATATATCTTTTGCAGTTGGACAGATCGGCAACCGTAGGCAATTTTGTTGTATTTACATTGACATCCATGAATGGCGCGGTGGGTTCGAAAATTGGTACAAACAATGAGACAGACAAACATTGTAGTATGGGTACAATCCATATGACTCATTTCCTGGCAGATTCACGTGAAAGTGTTATGTAAGGGAAGCTTTATTGACGGAAACGTATCCCATCAGGCACCAGGGCAGGCTACACCAGTATGATACCCAAGACATTTCTTGTACTTGTACTATTCTAATTCTTTTCCGTCTTTTCAAGGCTTATAGCGATTGACTTATTCGATGTCATACATACCCAGGTAATGACAGTTGGGTTTGGTGAGACAAAGTGCACAGGTTGACCCATACCTGTTCGAGTTAGACTTGTAGTGTACCAATTTCCACCATGTACAGTTTTCACGACTTTGTGAATAGAGACAAACTCAGCACAAGCATGCTCAAATCCACAATGAGAAATGGCTGATCGGTTTCAGTGCCAACATAACAGACAGTGCCAGAAAGCATCATGTGACCGATTTGTTGCACCAAGCAGTTTGATATTCTAAGCTACCTACATTCTTCGGCCCCCCATCCATCATGAGCCATCTGACATGCCCGAAAGGGCGCAACACAACATATAACATTTCCTGTACCAATATGAATCCCCCCTCCTCCGCTGTGATGCGTCAGAGTCTGTATGGAACATGAGAGGATGATCTGCAACACCTGCCAGCTGCCTCACTGAAACAAGTGGAAAACTTCAGCTGCTTCCCCCGGTAAATTAGGCGCTACGCTAATATCTAGTATAGTGAATGAGCTGCCGCAGCTGGCCCAGAGCTCCGCGAGGAACTTAGCCCGGCCACTCTACACCCCTTTCAGGAGATCTAGCCAGCCTAGCCAGTTGGCGGATTGTGGTCTCTTGCTGGTATTGGCAATCCAACTGGACCCAGAACAGTGGCTGCGAAATTCTAGAGCCCTAGTAACGAGCACTGATGTGGAAACATATACACCTCCCGAAGAAGCTATCAGTCTAGACTACCCAGCGCCCGTCCCAGCTGAACGGAACTTTCGCCTGTTTAGGTCGCGCCTAGCTCTTTGGAGGGGACTATTGGTTGGTAATCTGATCATTCTATCTGGATTGAGCGTATCACTCCTGAGCACCATGGGCAACGCGTATGTGTGCAAGTCCGGGGACGTTTTCATGTCGAAATCGCCTTATGTATGTTCCGTTGTGATATAAAAGAGCGATGGTGCAGCCCGATATCATCTCCTCTCAAGGGTTGGAGTCTACGCATTATTGATTGATTACTGATCTCATCCTTTCTCGCATATCCATTCGCACACAATGGATTCCAACTGCTTAGTGTGCACTTCAAACTACCTTCGGGGTTCGATCAGGAAGCGACTCATCGTTTGCTGCGATGGCACGTTCAGCGGCGTTGATAAAGGCACCGATCAATACTCGAGCAACGTTGCTAGACTCAGCCGGACCATCTCCAAGGTGGGTATCACTACCGACGGCAACAAGATTCCCCAGGTCGTATATTACCAGTCAGGTGTTGGCACTGGCGCATTAACTGTCGTCAATAAAGCGCGGCAAGGTAAGAGCTTTTTTTGTCAATTGATTCATATACGTGTACTGACTTCTAATAGGTGCTGTTGGTGAAAGTCTAGCAGAGAAGGTCTGCGAGGCTTACAACTACTTGGCAAACAACTGGGGTCCTGGCGATGAAATCTTCATCTTCGGATTCTCTCGTGGCGCGTATACTGCTCGGTCTTTGGCTGGCTTCATTTGCGAAGTTGGCCTTCTGACACCTCTTATGCTTGATCACTTCTATGAGATCTACGAGGCGTACAAGAACAGGGGAGGGAAGCCGCTGGCAGAAACTGCTTGGGCTAAGACTACCTTGACGGCGGGCGAGCTTGGAACGGTGCCCCCACGTAAGGGTGACTCTAAGCGAGATATGGGCACCCGCATGGATTTCCTGAGGAGGTCGTCTCACCATCACGTAAAAATCAAGGTGGTGGGAGTCTGGGATACTGTCGGTAGCTTGGGATACACCAATTGGTTCGGCCAGGCAGGAGCTGACAGCTCTTTTCATAGCACTAGGCTCAGTCCAAGTATGTTAACTCCTATTCATCTCTTATATATCTCAATGCTAACAAGCACAGAAATTGAGAATGCCTTCCACGCTCTAGCAGTCGACGAAACACGGGGAAACTTCCCTCCCACACTTTGGTACCTTGACTCGTGCTGCATGGGGGAGGACAATAAGCCCAAAGTCAACCTCAAGCAGTGCTGGTTCCCAGGCTATCACTCAGACGTAGGCGGTCATAGTGCAAGTAATATTGACACTAACAGTGTCGACGAGATTGCGTTCGCGTGGATGTGCGATCAGCTATTCGGACTATTACAGCTGAGCGGAACAGCGTTACAGAAATACATCCTCTTCAGGATAGGCGATCTCAACCTCGATACCCAGAACAAGAACATCCGCGATCTCAAAGCGGCGTGGTCCACAATCAAATGGAGTGATGGGACGCTGGAGGATACGAACGGCTGGACAGACTGGTGGTGGATTCCCTCTTTGATTTCAACCCGATCAGCATCGTATAAGCGTATCCCAGGCGAAACTCCCGCGTCCGAAGTCGTTGACGGCAAAAAGAAGGATATCGACTACATGTGGTTCAATGAGGAGGTGCACCCCTCTGTCCGCCATCGCATGAACACCAAAGACCTATCGTATATGCCTGAAGGGCTTAGCAAAGCAAATGGTTGGAGATACGTCGAGGCTTCCGGAGACAGACAAGCGCACTGGGTGAAGAACTCCAACGGCAAGGAGATTGTTCTCAATGAGTATATCATTCCAAAGTTGAGCACGCCTTTCCAATCCGGTTCAGGCTACGATTTCTGGCAAGGAAGTTTAGAGCGTACCTTCGCTCCAAAGGATGTTTTGGCTGCGCAAGATCTATATGCTTAGAAATGAGGGATACGAATGAAGATTGATGATAGCGAGTAGTCCTTCTGAAGTTAGGCGTACGGCGCATGTATTGAAGTATACCTGTGTATCTAATGGTGAGTTTAATAGCGACCCGGTGACTTTTGGACTATTATCCTATTTTTGGTTAGACAATTATAAAGCATTACTCCTAGCAGTTATATATATATATATATGTACCTACATAGGTTAATGGACTGACTCCGGCTGACCCGCCAACTATTGAGTTGTGCACGATAGTCTCAGGCTATGATATGAGCTAGCATAGTGCGCTGTTACTTATGAGAGCCCCCTAATTGGTGTTTCTGTTTTAATAGGCACCGCCTGTGTCAACAATGAGGTGCAAGAATACTTTCTTTTTGGTTTTGATACTTTTCAAATTACAATATAAAAAAGCTGTGCCAGTAATATCACTTCCTGCACAGCATTCATCTACTCCATTGCAGCAGATTCGGAGATTTATGACGGAAAGTCTGCGATATTCTATGGCAAGCCTCAACTGACTTCCATGGTGTCGCTCATCACCGATCGTGCCGATTTTCAAGGACCATTGGTCTTGCGACGTTTGAAACGGATAATTTTACCCGACCGAAGGCTTGGTTCCCAATGCAAGTAATGGATGGACGCCCAGAGGAGGACGGAAAACACTATTAACGCAATAGCTGATACGACAAACTTCCACAGATCCGTGTACTCGACACTTTTCGTATCCTCTTTCAGCACGATGAGATTCATCCCCCAGAAGCTCTATTTAAATTCAATCAGTGAAAAGTACTGTACAGCATCTCAGCAGTACCTACTGTTGCAACCGATGCGGGTACGAATAATAGCGAGAGATATGTGACAGTAGCTATGACGTCTTTCGCATCGTCGCGTGTCTCCTGCAGAATCTCCTTCGATTGATTGAGAAGCTCCTGGGTCTTTTCAAGCAGTCGCTTCGTATCTTGTAGTTGATATAAACTGACAACATTATAGGACTATCCTGGAATTAGTAAATGCGTCCTGAAACCTTTGCAAATGGGGTACACTCGCCAACTGAATCTCATTATTCAGTCGTTCTTTGAAAGCATCGGCACGCAGCTTCAGATTCATCAGAAACTGGGCTGAGAACCGCAATCCATTGAGAATATTGTCACTTTTGCCGAAGTCATTTTTTTCAGATGTATTCTGCCTTTCGAAATGATCTATTATCTTGTTGGCCACAGCTGATGCAGCCTGTAAGGTTTCGCTGCTATGAATTACATGTCGGGCGTATTCGTGCATATCATCATAACGGCCTATCACGCCTCTGCTATTCGGACCTGGTATGGTTACACCTATTTTCGTATTCAGTCCGTTTGAAAATTCATCTCTACCCTGTGATAAACGTTAGCCTGATACCTCGTGATGTCCTCCGATGCAGGATACCTGTTCAATCTCCCGGATAGGGCCACGGAAAAGCCAGAGAGCTCGGTCATATTGCCAAATAATTTGACGAAGGAGAGCATCATGCACGGATAAAAGATTCTGTGAAAGAAGGCTCCAACAGTACCCCTCAAACGCGTATTCGATATCTTTCCTAATTTTGCTGCAGTCATCAAAGCATACCAAAATATTTGTGTTTCTGGCCCCATCATCATGCTTCAAAGATATGGCACAGAATGACAGATACAGCCAGCCGTATTCTGGGCGATCGTCCTCTTCCTTGTCGCCCTGCTTCTTGAGAAATTTGATGAGAAATCGCGAAATGTCACCTTCTCAGACTTAGTATCTCTATGGCAATTCTAAGTCAAAGATGCTTACTCTGAATTGATAAGCCATTTTCTTCATGTTTGGTTTGACTCATGAAAAAGCCATTAGAATCCCAGGCGCTTTCAGTTAAGAAGACTGGATCTATGCGAAGAGCCTTGGCGAGGTCTTCGGCTTGCTTGGCGATTACCCCGCCCTCCTTTTCGCCTTTGTCATATATTTTCGGGAGAAAGCTGTACTTGTTAGACGTGTTTCATCTAGTCATAGTCAGGGAGCGGTTACAAGATACGAAGAGCATAGTCCTAGCTATACTGTTAGATTAAAATTATTTGGTAATTAGTTTCTGTTGAAGGTGAACTTGCCTCTCCTGTAGCAGGCTTCGATAGAAATGCAACAAGACCTTCAATAGTAGAGTCTTCCCGATGTTCGATAGACAGTCCTCCTCCTGTTTCTCTACCCTTAATGTGAGCGATATACTCTACAAATACTGTAAGTTCGTTCTTCCTAACCTGAACAGTGTCTGTCCGATCTTGTGAGACTTTGGGTTCTCGACAGTCGACGATAAGCTGGGAGCTTCCGAAACCTCCAAGGCCTGCAAATCTGAAGGCGTACTTGGCGTTACCGCTTCCGGTGATGTGGTAGAGATTTCTTGGAGTTTTTGAGACTCTTGTATTTCGTCAGCCATGGTTGATTAGACTGATTCTGTGATCGTGATTGTCTCTTGAAGAAGATATGAAGAGCGATGAAAAGTCGAAAGTAATACGGCCATCCGTGAGAAGAGGTATTGGAAATTTTCAGTGATAAGCATGCAAGCATGACTGCACCGGAAAGGAAAAGTGCAACTTTACCCCTCTATGGTGGCGTCGGAGATCTACGGTATATATCAAGGTAAATGGTAGATAACTCGTCTCTAGTAACTGCAGCGTGCATGCAAGTAGCCGACGGTAAATGTGATTTTGCGTGTTGTTTTCCGCCGATTCAGCTATTAACTGTAACTATGATATCCGGGGACAGATTGCTTAAAGCTGGTAAAGGTTGTAATGCACACCATAGTCCGAAGTCCTGCCGCAAAGATTGGCGCATCTAACACCAGGACTTTGAGGCCGGAACCGCACATTTGGTCGCTAATAGATGCTTGGAAAGCACGTGAAAGTGTAATTGACAACATAGCGTAGTGTTACATCTCTAAGCCTCTCCCGTGGAGACCTCGAGAGCACCGTAGGCGATCTTCCTTGTATGCCTTGCTGGCTAGAATCGCAGCCACCTAAGTAAAATGTATTAACTACAATATGTCTGACAACATCGGTTAACAGGAATTTCGATAAGGCAGACCAGCTGCTGACGGCCCGGCCGTGGCGCAAACATCAACCTTCCTATCAAATGCTAGTATGCTCGGCGCCCAAGAGTCTGCCTCACGCAATCTGCACATCAGCACATCTGAACACCTACATAAGGATACAGTGCCCTTTCTCAGGCGTCAACGTCTCCAGCTTGCCATGTCAAGCATGGGGTCTCCTGTGTTGGACATAGCAACGCCTGCAACTCATACTATGGGCCTCTTCTTGCAACCATATGTCGTGAAGCACGTTCATCCTGACATTCAGCACCATCAGAAAATCACCCAAATTATTATCACAGGCTCGCCTCAACGGTATGCCCAACTCAGCGATACATGCATTGATTCCTTACGGCCTACGGTATCTTGGATCGACTCTCACACGATACACCTCAACTGCTTCCCGAGTAGAAGCCTAATGTTGCATTATGCTAGTGTCGTGGCTACGTATCTTAGTCTCTTCCGCAGAGATTCTGGCATTGTGCATCTTCGACCACTCGATTCAGACCACACAGTGCGGCTCATACGCGAATCCAACCTCCAGGCAATTGGCAAGATAGACCTGGCCATTATTGGCAACGTCAATAACCTGACGGGGCTAGAGGGGCTAACAGACCACTGGTATGGCTTTGATAGGTCCGAGTTTAGCATTTTCCGCTGGCAAAAGTTTACATCGCGCAAGCACCAGGCAGTTGCGGTAATTGGTTGCTTGGAACAGCTATGGGGTGATACGGGTGGCCATATTCTGCGTGCTTTGTGCACACAATTAAATGTCAAGTGCGTCATATATATCGCCAAATGCGGCAGCTTATCAGAAGAGTATACGTCAAATGGATGGATAGCTACGGGGACCAAAGCTTTCCTCAAGGGCGAGGTGATACAGTGGTCATGTCCATTGGAGCCTGTGATAGATATGTCAAAGGATATGTCAAAGAAGGTTGCTCGAGGTCCGATCGTGACTGTACCCACCCCTCTTTGTGAGACGAGGGATTGGTTGTCTGAGTGGGCGTCCAAGGCTACATGGGTGGATTGTGAAGTTGGGTTCATTGCAAAGGCTGCTGTTGAGCTTGGGGTCCAGTTCGGATTTCTTGTCGTGGTTTCCGATAACCTGTGGCATCCTGAAGGACAAAACTTGTCTAACGAGGACTCACCTACTGTTATCAGTGCACGCAAGGTGTTGTATGATCAAATGACCAAGATTCTAAATAGCCTTTTGCTTAGATTAGATGCAAGCTAGTCTTATAGAGAATATTGGGATGATGTCGCTGCCGCACTATGATGACAGATAGTTGAAGTAAACATATGGACACTACTTGAAGAACAACCCTATTGTCCTAGCTCAGTTGAACTACTTATTCTAACTCCACCTGAGGCATTCTTTCAGAGGTTATATGTGCTGACTAACCAATCGACATATTGATAGCCAGTTCAACAGGCGCCGGATTTACGATATTGTGATAGTGTTGAGTTCATAATAATATCTGTATTATCCGTGTATTTGAACATTGGTGGGCTAATGCATAAGCAGCGTCTATTACGTTGTGCTGATATTACTGTGTGATAGCTGACCTCCCGATTCCCAGCTCTCAGCATAATACCGGGCTTTCGCAATCTGCTCGTGCCCTCCTAGTTTAGTCACCAATACTTCTTGCTGCCACACAGATATCCAGCCCCTCCTTGACTCAGACATTCTAAGGGAGTTACCAACAAGGAGGCTTTCGTGCATACGGGGCCAGCAGGCACAAGAGTTTCGGAACCGACTTTGGTTAATGGAAAGGGATAAAGTCAAAAGCGGTGTGCCTGTGCTACGAAAATAGAAGAAATCGTACGTTAACTTTGACACTTCATACAGATTCTGAGAAATTGAGCGCTATGAGGCAGTGTTTGCTTTGAACGGGACATGGCATAGTAAACAAACCTATGAATTCTAGATCAGCGCAAGCACCACGACCGTGGGTATGGTTCAATTAGGCGTCTACCTAACCTCATCTCACCGTAGCCATTGGATTTCTATTATTGGTTGCAGCTTCTACGTGCTAGTGTCACTCCCAGCCACGCTTTGGTGGGTCATTTGTTCATTCATAGGTAAACAGATTCCATTCACTGCACCGCTTGAAAACACTTCATTTTTTCTGTACCTGCCTCAAGCGAGGGACAAGCTGGTGTCCCGTGCAAAGATGAGGTTGGCACTAGGTACCATGTGTTCAAAATTGGTAAATAAAGCGATTCTCACAGATGAAGGGGAACACAAAGCACTATCAGGCGGCTACAAAATCGCCTACTGGTGTCGAAACCAATTAATTATTTCGAGGGCATGACTTGATTAAGGGATCATGAGCCGCTTTCGGTCCGTATACGTTAAGCGCTGTACAGTAGAGCACGTACCACACGACTCCGGCCGTAAAATACCAGGTGCAAGGGTGCGCGGGAAAGGATATCAAGTACGGGTATGAAGTGGAGTAGATTGCTCGCCCTTACTTCATGACTATTGTATCCACACAGCTTCATCGCTACAAGACCATCATCTCCGCAAAGAACAGCTTACCGCACCTACAGTGCTTGTTATAGGCACTGACTGTATAGCTTAATGAGAATTTGGCTTGTTGTTGGTCTTGTAACGAGAAAGTTTGTACCACATCTACGACGTGGGGACATCGAGATGTAGTCTCTACAGCACTTAATATAGGTACACAGAAAGTATTACGCGCGAGCGAATATTAATGCAGGGAAGGGTTAATCCATCACAAGGGTATCCGAGGCGTTCACTAACAAACTACCGCGCAACTAGACACCATGCTCTTCCCGTTTCATTTCACCAATTGGTTGCTTGGCTCGGTTAGTTTCACGTGGGTGTAGGAGTAGTTACTGCTGCTAGTAGATTTCCTATGCGGTACGATCGTTGGAACGCCGCCGGAGACACTTCACGTAATAATCTTAGACAGTACATGTATACTAATCTGAATCCTTCGCGTATTTACATGCATGAGATTCTCGTATATGCGAAGAAGAGAATTAGTAGATAGGCAGAGCCAAGCTTGAAGTTCGTGGCGTCTTCAACGAAGTTACTCGCTGTTCATGTATTTAACTGACACCCCCGGGCATGTGTAAAAGTAAAGGTAGCAGAAATCGTAGATTGATTTTGTAACATCAACAGTGTGATGTTCTCAGGTCATAACATAACCTAGATCTGAGTGTTCAGGCATGAATGGTTGGATGGGTTGACGTGATAAAATAAACAACCTCCTGATTCAAGATATATGATAACAACGCAATAGCATCATGGGAACTGCGAAAATAGGTAGGTAATGATTTGTAATGTCCTATGGTCTGAGAAATCAGCATGTTCATTCAAACGCTTAATCACGAAAGAGGATATACATGTCGCGTCATCAACCGTGCATAGATGAATCTTCAATTGTCAATGCCTTCTACTACTCCTCTCAGAGGCGATTATCATTAAACTATCGAAACCCATACTTATCTGGGGATTGCAAATATTGGCCTACCACCTTTCGGTCGGTCATTCGAGAAAGATTGGTTGTCCAAGAGACTGATCCGGTCAGCTTAATCCTTTCGAAACTACTCCGACAATCTCAACGGGGGACGAATACAGCGCACTATCATATCTTCTTCTTCATTTCAATTGTCGACATGCCCATTCGATCTCTGCTAACTCCACGATAGCCTAGTCTCTGTGGCGCTCGAAGCCCCCAAGTGCCCATAGCGTGAGTTATGGGAACGGGTGTTTGTCGAGTCTAGCTGCGCTGGATGACAGAAGCCTAGTGATGTGCAGTCTACCATTTCTGTTGCTGTACTAACTTCATCCAGGCGATTCTTACTACAGCAAGCTACCCTTCGTGATAGAATATGTCTCTATAGCGAGATGTGTGTCGGGCGGATGGCGTGGGGTAAATATTCCTGGTAGCCCGAACAGCCACTCTTCCCAATTTCTTGGGCTCTCGCGTGTTGGAGCCAGCAGAGACTGTCACTAAGGACACACCCTAACTCGTATGGAATGTGGTGATAACTGAGACCGAAGCCTTATCACGCCGCATTGTAATCCTTCTTATTCCAGATTGGGCTGCCATGCGCCCAACGTCAAATGTAAATAGCTGTCAGTCAAAATTGGGTTGAGCGCTTTATTTAGGATACTTGATCTTGGGTAGCGCTGCAATTCGAGCACTTCTCCTCAGTGTTATTGGGCGGCTTGGTGAAGTAGGCAAAGTGGCTTTCTTCGCTGTTCGCCTTTTCCTTGCCGGTTCTATGATTGTTGTACTTGGAGTTTCGCGAGACAAGCGTGCCTGGACACTTCTCTTGGAAATATGAGCGTGACTATCATCCTCATCCTCAATCTCCATTCGTGATCGCTTCCGTTTAGTGGTCCTAGTCTCGGGTTCCACTGTAGCTACCGCGTCTTCAGGCTGAGCTGGCAGTTGTAGAGAAGGCAGCTGGTCCTTGTCGACAGGACATGTAGTAGTCGAAGGTGGTTCTGAACGATGGGATACCGGGCTATCAACTATGCGAGGATACTCTTGTACTACCGAGAGTTAGCGGCTGCAATTTGGATTTTAATGGAGATGAAGGTACGTGAAAATCTTGCGACATACATTCTTGGCTAATGGAAGATACCCACGCTTCTGTTCGCCTCCTTCTTCGCTCCTCGCGATAACACATCCTATCCATCTCGGCTTGTGGGATAGCACATATGTCGCTAGAATCTGGTGAGAATGGGTTGACTGGATGCAGCTCGGCATGTAGAAGCTTGTATTTCTCTTCGAGATATTTCTCCTTTGCCTCCCAATAATCTGGATTATCCATATCTTGCATGTGGTTCTCGCTGTTACGAAAGCGAATATCATGCTTCTTGGCGAAATATAGCTCGTCTTCGTCTAAAATACGGCGGCCTTCTGGACCCAACTGGCGGAGGGCATGCATGATATGTCCGATGACTGTCTTTGACCAGCTAATCCTAACATCAGGTGGGTTTTCGGGAACTGGCGTGGGCGAGTTCGTAGAAGGAAAATAAGAGGAGAAAAAAGATCCATCGCTGGGTAGCTTTGCAACGTTGTCTTCTGTGAGCTCCATTGTGTATACAATCGGAATGCGTGATGAGGCGGCAAAACGCGATGTTACTAGGTGAAGGAAATGCGAACGTTGAATGAATTGAACATGAGCACCGAATGCAAGGAGGCCAGGCGAGCGCGTCAGCAGCCGCCAATTGATTGGCTAGCCTCTTCTCCTCTGATTTGTAGCGTGTCTAACGTGACGGACAGTGTCTCCTACTTAGTCCCATAGAGTACACAGGAGGGAGGGGAATGTCAATACCTCTGGCCAGGTCAAGAGACCGCGGGAGCAAACATAGCCGGCCAATGAGAATATGACTTACATAGGACAATGGGACAGACACTATTCAGGTTGTTACACATACAATGGGACAGATACTATTCAGGTCGTTACACATACAATGGGCTTTCTATAGTTAACTACTGCAGTGTCAGAACAGTCCTACACAGCTGGCGCTTGTACACTCTCTCCCTCCCTGATTGCCTTGCACATTCGGCCCATTCGGCCTGGTACATGTTGAATGGGATATTCCTTCTTTCCCGCCAGTTGTTCCGCCCGTCCCACTCTCCAGGGATGTAAGGCATAGTCATTAGTCTGATTGTGATACATTTACCTAACAAACGTTGATAAACGAATGTCGAACAAGTACATTGGGAACATATATAATAAGCTGGTTAGATCCGCCCTTGGCTGAGAACCTCTCATGGCCCAGCAAGTTAACTCCATTTGTAACTACCAAGCTAAAAGTATGGCAGTTGACCCTCGGGAGAACACTATCTTCGAAATACACTCATTTTCCGACTTCATTGGAGACCCCCATCATGGGCGTTTTTTGGTGAGTGATGAGATACCAACCTACGTCCATGATGCCTATACACCACAATCACCCCTTTCGCCTAGAGAAGACTATAGAGATACTACCCCTGTACCAGAAGAGACTCCGTTAGCTCCATTTCTTCGGATTACAACCGACCACCCTCCTATTTCAGCCTTCCGAGGATTTATGTTCGGAAGTGACGAAGCTTCATGCGATATCCTCCTCGCCCACAGTAGATTTGGCGGTGTGAGCGCAGCCCATTTTTCTTTGCAACCCCAGATCAACGATGGGGCACGAGTCCTTATACTCAAGAGTCATAGTCGCAACGGGACCTACATCTCCGCTAACGAAGGTTTCAATACTATATTGACTACCCAGAGAGCGATTATAGAGCACGACGGAGACATCGACATCAAGATCGGAAGGCTTTATTTCACTATTTTATTTCCTGCTCGTGGGCCGTATCAGGACCAATGGGACCGGAACTGGGAAGCATATTGCGACAAATATGCGTACACAGGGCCAATTCGTACTTTCAGACTTAGTTCGGGCTCAGCCATGGAAACCATCCCGTGGCAGGATCGTTATTTTTGCGGCATCAGGCTTGGGACCGGATCTTTTGGGATTGTGTACCACGTTCTAGAGCGTGTTACCGGAGAAGTCCGTGCGGCCAAGTGCTTTTACAAAAATGCAGACCGGTGCGAGACAAATCTGAAGGTTCTGCTAAGTTTGAATCATGTATGAGATCTGATTTCACTCTTCATAATATGTACAGTCCTTAGCTAACCACGGGCATAGAGTAACATCGTCAAATACTACGAGATATGCAACGATCCACCTGCGCTTATCATGGAATACATCGACGGCCCTGAACTCGGGGTTTCATGTCGAGAGAGCGCCCTCAGCTACCAGGAAATACAGGATGTTACACGGCAGCTGTCAGGGGCTATTGCGTACCTCCACGGGAAGAACATCACTCATCGAGATCTCAAGCCCAGCAATATTTTGGTCAAACGGCGCAATCCAGTTGAGGTCAAAATTGCTGATTTCGGCCTGGCTAGCGAACGTCCAGGAGCACTAGGAACAATTGCTGGCACAAGACCATACCAGGCACCTGAGATCCTGGCTAAGGGGCCATATACTAATAAGGTGGATGTCTGGTCACTTGGGGTTATAATCCTAAAACTCTCTTACGGGTATCCTCCCGAGCGTATAGATGAAGTGTCCGACTGGCCCAGGTGCCTCATCCGTCATATTCGTGCCCAGTCGCCCAACGAGGTACAAGAATACATTAAGTCTTTGCTTGAATATGAACCTTCTAGGCGGCCGTCCGCAGAAGAGGCTAGGAATGCCAATTTTCCTATCTTCGGTACGGATAGACAGACATGGGACAAGATTCTTCACGGCAGGCGTAGCTCCAAGGCCCCCCGTAAAGAGCCAGAAGAAGAAGAAACCGAACGAACGGTGAAACCGCCGGCAGCCAGGGGATCTGTACAGTCAGGGGAGACCACCGTTGCACACACGCCCGGTAGGATGGCGGAGTATGAGAGGACTGCAGTTCCTGCGCACCATGGGCGTAGCGCAGTGCATCTTCATGAAGAGTCGGAGGGCCCAACCAATAGATCCACAAGACCCGGATCACGCGGCTCTAAATCGTCATCTAGAGTCAATGAATGTGTCGCGCCTACCACCGGACCTGTCACTTCGTCTCAATTATACACGCTGGACAATTACGGGCCTTATCGTACTCCTCGAATGCACTCATCAGAAGGACCGTCAAGGTATCCCACCAACTTCGATCCTTATATTTCATTCACTCCCGTTCGTTCGCCCCGAGCGCCATCGTTTGTAGAAGGGATGCCGAATGCCCCTACTCCTAGAAACTGGCTCGAGTCGCGCAATTCTGAACACACTGCCCCGCCCGAACCGCCACGTCCTCCCAGAAGCGGTGCCCCGAGACATCCGTCTCGCGGCATGCTTAGACCCGCTGGTGTACCTCTCCCCAAACGTCTGATGTATGACTCATCATCTACCAGGGAGAGCACCAGAGCCTCAGAAGATGATGGGTCAGGATAAGTCAGGTGCAAGAATGTGACAGTGTTTGAATGAGTGATGGAATTACTATGAATGGGAATGGGTAGTCTGGGAAGTTAATGATGCGATCGTAATGATTATAGAGATAGATCTTTCTAATCATGTATGGTTCCGAAGATTTGTCTGGAAATTGGAGTTTTCTATTTGATATCACACACGGTCGTGATGTACAGACTTTCATCAGGTTTCCCCAGAGTTAGCCTCAGCACTTTTTATTGTTAAAGGTTGTGTACCTCTAGCGCCCATAGTAAACATAACTATATGTTTACTGAACTCTTCAAGTAGGCGCGCATGAGATCGAGTGCAGGGAGTTTGCGAAGGGCAATAGAATACTTCTACAACAGCTTAGGTAGCGCAAATAGGGGTATCGTCTCAAATGCGGTTGAGAATCACAAACGCGCATATCACTCTATAAACTCATCCCTATTTTCATATTCGACAGTACTTGGCATAGGGCGATGAGAGAAACTAGTTTGGCATGTTAGTAATTGTAGCATACCTGTTGAAATGGGTAAATTTATTTCCCGCCCCGGGAGAAAGTCTCGAGAAAGGGGTACATTAGCGCAAGTTCCCGCCATCTATCCAGGACATGTCTTTTGACAAACTCCAAAAGCGATCCGTGATAAAAACACCTCACCGCCCCCCTTACGAAAAAGCGAACATGGGAGGCGGGATGATTTAGCTGCTTCATCCAGACTACATACAATTGTCAATACACGCAGGTGGGAAATATATAGTACCGCTGGGCTTGCACATCTGGCAGCGGCGTTTTGACAAAGTGCGAGAATTATTGATAAAACGAGTTTCTTCAATAGTACTACTAGGTGCTCTTCTTGCAGTTAACATTCTACCACTCTAAGTACCTAATTGCCAATATACATCATAAAGTCTGAAGAGAAGTGTGTAGGTTGATATTGGAATTAGGAAGGCAGGGATGGATAATCCTGGTGGCTGGTACTTCGACCCACACACACTTTATTATATAAATAGATGTACTACCCTAACCTATAATACCTAGACTTAATTCCTTAATGCAATATACAATATAATTCTTTATCTATAGTATTATTTATATTATACTATTTTAATTAATTATAAGCTTGAAAATTTATAACCTTAAAAGAAAATAACTTTTAATATTTTATTTTATTTAATTTATTTTAATTATAAATATATTATATTAATTTAAAAATATCTTTATTTATAATAAATAATTACTACTTTTTTTATTAAGCTATAAAGGTAAAAAAATGTTAAAAATATTATAATAATAGGAATATTATACTTTAATAATATACCCCCTATTATATACCTTAATATATAAATATACCTATTAAAAATATAATATTTATTAAAATAATAAAAATTAAAATAATTATACCTCCTTTAATATATTAATAAAAATATTAAAATTTTACCTTTATTATTAATAATTATTATTACTTTTATTTAAAAAAAAACACTTTAAAGTAATAAATAATATATTATAAAGTATAAATTATTAAAAGGAAATTAAAATATTATTATTTATTACTTTAATAATTAGAAATTAAATAAAATAAAAATAATTAAAATAATAAAAAAATAATATTAACTTTAGGATTTAAAATAAATTAATATTTAAAGGTTAAGCTAAATTTATTTATAAAGATTTAAAAATTTATAATTAAATATAACTTTAAAATTTAACTATTTATTTTATTTATTTACTATTATTTTTTAAATAAAAAGAATTTTCCCTTTTTTATATAAAAATTTAAAAATAAATAATAATTAAAACTTTTTTATAAAAACTTTATTAATTATAATTATTAATTATAAATATTATTATTATTTACTTTATTATTATAACTTTTATTATTCTTTTTATTTAAAGAAATATTATTAATCTTTATATTTAATAATATTAATAAAATTAATTTATTTAAATTTAAAGTTATTATTAAATCCTTATTATTAAAAATATCTTTATTATTTTTAAAATAAATAATATTTAAATATATTAATATTTTAAATAATAATAATTTTAATAAATTTATATTAAATTTATTTACTTTAAAAAATAATACTTTAAATAATAATACTTTATATTAATTAATTTTTAAAATAAATTAAAATAAATAAAAAAATTAAAACTAACTTTTTATCCTTTAATTAAATTATAATGCTTAAATTCTTATTTAAATACTTTAAATTTAAAAAAGAAATAATTAATTATATTTATATAATAAAATATATTAATTATTTATTTAAAAAAGCTAAGGAAAAATAACCTATTAAAATTAAAAATATATTAATTAAAGCTATTTTATATAAAGCTTAAATAAATTAAAGGATTATATAATAAAAGGTATTAAATTATATTTAAAGCTATTATAAAAAAAATATACTTAAAGTTATTTTAAATTATAAAATATAAAAAAAGGATATAAATATAAAGATTATTATAATAAATATTTAAAATTTAATTAAAAAGAAATTTAAGTTAATTAATAATTTAACTTTTTAAAACCTATTAAATAAATAATAAACTATTTTATTAATTATAAAAGGATTAATTTTAACCTTTATAATTAAATTAAAATTAATAAAATTAAATTTTAAAAAATTAAATATAAAAACCTATATTTTAAATAAATTATTTTTTATAAGGTTTTTATTTAACCTTAATAATAAATATTTAATATTTATTTTAACCTTTTTTTAAATAAATTATATTATTATTATTTAAAAGGTATTAAATAAAAAAATAATAAAAGAAGTTACTTTTTAATTAACTTTAATAAAAGTATTATAAAAAAAATAAATAAAAAAGATAACTATTTAAAATTTTATTAATATTTCCCTTTTTTTTAATAATATAATTAAAATAAAAATAATAATAAAAGGAATAATTAAAATAATTATTAAAAGAAATAAAAAGTATTTAAAATAAAATGTTATTATTATATTATTATTAATAAAAAAAATATTAATTATAATAATAATAAATGCTTTTTTAAATATTTAAAAAAGGTTTTAAAATAATAAAATAATAATAAAAGAAATAAAAAACTTAAATTAAATAAAAATAATAATAATAATAATAATTTAACTATTAATAATAATATTAATATTATTATATTTATTATAATTAATTTATTATTATTAATTTAACCTTTAAATTTAATATTTTTTATTATTAAAAATAATATAAAATTAATAAAAAAGTTATTAAATTAAAAGCTAAATATTTTAAATTAAATATTTAATAGTTTTAAATAAATAAAAGAATTATACCTTAAATAAGTTTAACTTAAATAAGCTTAATTTAAAAAAAATTAACTTAAAGATAATTAATTTAAAAGAGTATTAATATTAATTAATATTATACTTTAAATATTAATAATAATAATTTTATTAAAATTAAAGGTAAAAGAACTTATAAAGTAAATATTTAATTATATTATTTTTAATAATAATTATAATTAAATAAACTTTAATAATAAAATATTATTTATTAAAACTTATTTTTATAATGGATTATTTATTTATAGGATAAAAAGTATAATAATAACCTTTAAATGGATAGGAACTATAAAGTTCCTTATAATTATTAATAAATGAATTAAAATAATTATTATTTATAATATTATTTATTACTTTAAAATAGGTATTAACCTAGTTTTTATTACTTAATTAATAAAAAAGAAAGCTAAATTTTTATTCTATTAAAATAAGGTATAAATAATAATAGAAAAATATACCTTTATAATTATAAAAAAGTTTAAAAAATTATATATAATTAATTAATTAAATAAAAACCTTTAAATAATTACTTTTAATAATATATTTCCTATTTAACTTAACTACTTAATTAATTTAATTATATTTTTAACCTTTATATATATATTTAAAAATATCTTAATAACTATTTATATAATTAATTTAAATTAATTTAAATTTAAATTATTAAATATTTTTATAATATTTTTATAAGTGTATATATTATAGCTAGGTTTATTATAAGCCTTATAATATTAAATATAAGTTTCCTTTCTCTTTATATAATAATTACCTTAATATATAATATAATTTTCTACTTTAAAAATACTTTATACCTTTATTTAATCCTTAATATTTTTAATAATAAAAGATCCTTTACTTTATAATTTAATTCTTTTTATATAATAATATTTATTAAGCTTATAATTTACTTTATAAAAGCTTTTAACTTTCCTTTTTAATAATATAAAATAATATATAATATTAATTATATTATATATAATTTAACTTAACCTTTTAATAATAAATATAAAAAAGCTATTTTAATATT